CACACACACACACACACACACACACACACACACACACACACACACACTTAAAGGTATAGTTTCTCCAAAGCAAAATAGACTGACTGAATCCATGAAGAGCTGGAGTTACTTAGAATGGTTGCCATGAAGGTTTAAACACTGAGCTGCCCATCAATCCTTCTGCTTCATCTAATCAATCCAGGAAGTAAACTCTATCGATGTTTCCAGTCTGGCGATCGGGAAGACAGCCACCTCCGATCATTTGTCAATAATGGAAACGTACAAATCAATAGAAAACGTGCAAACTGCTTCACCACAATGACAACACGGATCATTCTAGACCTTCCGGGGGGATTGACGATCACAAAGAAAGAGTCCACCATCATCGGTATATTGGTTTGTTATCGAGGTCGTTTATCAGCATAAAGTCTGGATGATGTATGAGATGAAACAATACAAACTTTAACCAAAGTACCTGAAACACCCTTCACTTCAAAAGGATATCCAAACTGTCTCTTTAAGCTTCCTCCCCAACAGTTTATTACATTTAATTAATACTGGAAATTCAATTTCTGATCGGAAAAACAGCTTCGAGAGAAACTAAAACAAAATGAGTTCTTCAAAATATGAGGCACTGAAGAGAAGAAAACACACACACACACACTACCTCGACTGTTGGTCGCCATGTCGGCCACTTTCTGAAAGGCGTCCAGGAAGGCTGCAACCGCGACGACCGTCGTCCTACGAGACACAACAGAGTAAAGGTTCGGATGAGGGAAGAAATCCTTTGAAGAAGCATTTTTAAAAATATGCAACAATCAACCAAAGAATTATCACGATCACACACACATCAATATTTATCGACCTTTTTTTTGTCCACTGACTAAGAGAATATATTGATTCAGTTGTGATTGATTAGTCAATGTGACACATTTTTTAAAATCAAAACATTTTCATCTCTTCAAACGTTTTTTTTTTGTCTGTTTTATGTAAATTGGAAACACTTTGGTTCTGAGACTGTAAGTTGCAGACATCACTTTGGACTCTGCCACCTTTGGCTTGTTATTTCTGACATGTTATAGCCTAATTGATCCAAAATGTAAGTAGTATTAGTATCTTTAGGGTTTTGACAGGTTTGGAGCTGAACAATGAATTGAGTATTAATGGTGATAACGATTTTAGATTCTTGCAACTAAATGAGCTTGATGGTTAAAATGTGTGCTCTGCTTGTAGAAAACACCACTGCATATCAAACCAAGCGCTTCCTAAACTAACAGCCGGCCACCGGGGGGGCAATCCAGATGTTTTGGTTTCACTTTGGGGGGCTGTAATATGTTGTGTATAAATGTAGCTTCTTAACCCAGCTTTTCATATCATTTTCATCTCATTTGTATCTATTCTAGCAAATGTATGCCATCACGTCCTCTAACATGTCATTGAACACTTATAATTGTGGGAGTTTACATGGATCTTTACATGTATACAAGCAAGTTTTAAGGTACATTTTTAACGTTACACTGAATGAAACAATGTGTTAAAACAGCTGATCAACAGTAGACGACCGGATATAATGTGCGAAAGTAATGTTATGGCTCTTCAATCTCAGACGCAGATGCCCTGGTGTGTGTGTGTGTGTGTGTGTGTGTGTTTGGTGAGGAAGAGGAGGACGGTTTGTAATCAGCTGTGACCTCTGGACCAGTGCAGAGTCTCTGGAGGCTGCTGCTGATCCATCGCACTGATAACGACTTTATGGTGGCATCATTAATCTCTGCCAGCCACACACAAGGTTAATTGAGTTGTGCGTGTGTGTGTGTGTGTGTGGACAGATGTTAGTGGGTGGTTAATGGCCAGAAGGGGTGAGGGTATATGTGTGTTATTGTTTATGATGAATTAATGTACAAGTGTGTTTTCGCAGTTTTTTTGTGCATGTTGGTGTGCGTACACAACCTTTAGTGTGTGTGTGTGTGTGTGTGTGTGTGTGTGTGTGTTCATATTTGCTGTGAACACATTTCCATGTTAACAGTTTGCTTATTGGAGTGATAAACGTCACTGCTGGAGATTTGGTTTTGTCTCTTTCTTTTCGTCATTGAAAACCAAAATATAAACTTTGTGCGATGGTCTATGATTGTACATGAGGTTACACATGCAGGATTAATAATAACTGTGTTAACAGCGGTATACTGAGATTAACACACCGCAATTTAATGAAACACATTTACATAGTTGGCAACACAAACAAAGATTGGCTACAAAAACAGAAAAACTAGGGCTGAAAACAATTCTTGGAGAAATACAAATTCAGCAGCACTACAGAAAACCAAAGCAAATACACACAAAAACCGACCAATACGTCAAAAAGAAGCTGACAATGTTTATTTACATTTTAACATTTAACATTGGGGTTGTGTGATTTTGATACTATTGGAGATAGATTGGCCATTAACTCATGCAGTACTTATTTTATTGCGCGTTGTCAAAGCGGTGAAGATCTGCGCTTTGACGCTTTGGTGGATAACTTGCATTACCTGAGCTGTGACTGCAGCTTGCTGGCCTTGCTGATGAAGTCGTCCCAGACAGGATAACTGCCCTGAGGAGAAAAAGAGAAGATACGTTAATTTACATCAAAACGTCGTCTTCCTTTACAGCTCGACTCACACAGGGAGATGTGCAAACGTACAAACATGGAGTCTTAATCATATTATTGTGGAAGTTTTGCTATAATTTTAAGCAGTTGCTTGAACCAAAAACCTGATTCTGTTGGTAAAAACCCTTTAATACGGTCATGCATCAGGTCAGCCTATCACTGGCAGTCATGGGGCTTAAACCAATCATCTATAATATAATTATTTGTTTGCAGAAACCTGCTTTTCTTTTCACAATCATTTACGTTGAATTACAGAGTTCGCTTATGTAAAATACATTCTGGCTTGACCAAAGCACATAAATCCTGAGCATCGGATGCAGCAGCGAGCCAACAGACAACAAGGAGACGGATCAATACGCCGATCCATCCGATCCATACGCCCCCGCCCACCCCCAGCATGTCCACAGGAAGCCAAACAACCCCCCCCCACCAGGACATGCAAATGCAGTGCGAGTCCACAGACTGGGTTTAACATGAGACGGACACGAAGGCGCTGCAGTGCGGTGGTGTACGTGTGTTCAGAAAGCTGCATGGAGGGAAACACAAAGACAGAAGAAACCGAGGGTGCGCTTCTAATGTCAGTGGGAGTCCCCTGATGTTTTCAGGGGCGGGTGGGGCTTCCTTTTTTCAATACTGCAGTGAAGCATCTGAGGCATCTTTTAACTCAGTGGATTCGGTAGCGTGGACTCAGAATGAAAGAATACAATACTTTACACCCATGTTCGAAAAACACTACAAGAACCCTAGAATCAAAACACACTTTTGATACACATATAAGATACTTAAATACAGGATTTCTTCACAATAAAGTTGTTTTCTTGTAAATTTCTTGCTTTATGAACCTCCCTCCCCGGCTCTATTTTTAGATTCTACCTACAGAGCTCCTAATCCTCCGTCCTGCAGAGGACGGTGGATTTCGTCGGTCATTTCTTCTTCGTGCTACGAGCCGATTTCTTCAGGAGTTCAACACACACGTGGTGTTTGAGTATTGTGAGACAGACTTCATCTGCTCCTCTAGAAAGCTGCACTCTGTGGGCGTCGCCCTTTGTCACGTCATCACCATCACCATCACCATCACCGTCGTCATCCCTCTCTAACGCGGTGCAGGCCCAGGCTGAGCCGAGCCGAGCCTGGATCATCAGCCTTGATCGGTTTTGTGAGTGCGATGCCCGGCGTCATCGCCTCGGTACCGTTGCTATGGTTACGCTGCTGGGGGGGGGGGGTGAGGAGGGTCATGCATCCTCACCCAAACACACACGTTTCTCTTTCACGTTCAACACAAATGTATTATTTGTAATTCTCTTATATATAAGAGAGAGCACTCACACTCTCTCACACACACACACACACACACACACACACACACACACACACAGTCACCGTGGCAACAACCAGAGGCGGCGGCAGCCTGACAGTCCTCCAGGAATCCTTCCTCTGTTTGTTTGGCTCTGTGAGCGACTGCACCGGCTTTAACACGAGAAGAGATAACGTGAGATAATAACGAAAATCGGATTCCTTTAAACTTCAGTGTGTGAGTGTGTGTGGCGTTGAAAGAAAAGAAAAAGGCCTGAAGGAAACGACTGAATATTAATTTTCCTCCTGTGAGGCTTTCCAAGCATCTACCTGCTCTAAAGGTCTCCGGGTGGATCAGACTGAGATGTTTAGTCCGAAATATCGAGAACATAATGGGGCACATCTTTGTGGATTAGTCACTGGAGGAATGTCAGGCAGGTGGATGAAGAGGAACTGGAGCCTTGTTTTGCCATTCGACTAGATTCATATAGAATTTGATATATTGGGAAATGTACTTATTTGTTTTCTTGCTGCAAGTTTTTATATATATATATATATATATATAGAGCTTAGCATAAAGACATAAAGACCATAAAACAGCGCATTGTTGTTGTTACACTTTGTTTTTTGTGGAGATGAAACAAAAGAAATATGACGCATTAATTACTGAGCTTTAGGTGGATTTTGTTCCCTTTCCGGGCTAGCTGTTTCCCCCTGTCTCCAGTCTTTATGCTAAGCTAAGCTAACTGACTGCTGAGTGTAGCTTCAAATTGAACTTACAGACATCACAGTGGTGTCGGTATTACATTTATTGAACCTAATTAGCGAGTAGCCAATTCATTATATTCTAAATAAATTAGCTGTATTAAAATGTTATAATGATATTCAAATTGTAGTATAATTGATGAATATTATTTTATTGCCTGTAGATCAACGTCCCACTTAAGCAGACAAGCTGTGCCTCACACAGGACGAGGTGTGTGAGAGTCTCACGTCCTCACATGAACATGTTGGCAGAGTTTGGACTATTTCACAAACCCATGATTGTGTGAGTGAATGATTGTTGTATTCGTGCCCTCAACAGTGAACTCCACCTCTTAACATCAGACAGACTGCACACATCAGACAGTGAAAACACATCGGAGCGAGTCGAAGCCAATAAACATGCCCACAAAAAACAGAAAAACAGAAGTGACCCATTCGGACGAAGCCAGCGCGGCAGCTTTGTCCGTGAGGTTTCCAAGACGACACCGATACGCAGCAGCCAGCCGGGAAGAAAGAGAGAGTAGGATTATTTTAGCTCAGAGGTGATTAAGATGACGGCTCAGTCCGAGATAAATGGTGATTAGCATTCAGCTAATACGCTCAGAGGCATGACTGTAAAACACACAGAGTCACAGCTGGGTCCTGAACCGAAGGTTAAACGGTTTTCTTTTTAAAGTTAGCGTCACAGCGGGATTCACACACGTTTCACACACTTCACTTCAATGCGCGCTGCTTCCTGTCTGTCTGACGCTCACAGGAAGACCTGCAAGTCGGTTTTTGTCCCAAGCTGCGTCACATCCACCAATTTCTTATCTACAAATTCATTTTTAGCTGAAAAGCTGCTCCTTTTGAACGAGAGACAAATGAGCGCATTTTGAATAGCAGTGAATATCTCAGAAAATAACATTGCAATCAATCTCATGTCAGCTCATCCATCCACACGTTATCTGGGCTCAACCTCCCGGTACCAACTGAACCAGTTATACATTTCTTTGGATGCATGAAAGATATTTGCAAAGATATCCGTGCAAACCCTTCACAAACACCGGCAGATGTCAGAATTGGTGCAACCCTCGTGGCTGTGTGAAATATGTGGAAAGTAGAATGTGAGCTTTATCTCCCAAGTGCATCCATCAACGAGTAAACCAATCTCTGGCTCCAGATTCTCTTCCTGTGGTCCAATCACGCGCTCCGTTACCAGACTGACTGCATCAAACATTGATGATGTTAACTTTCTACTCACCAGCAACAAAAGAGTCACTCGATGTATTCACAGATGTTCCAAACCTTCAGTTCAGTTTCTATTCAACGAGGAGTAAAACAGAACGTAAAGCACATGTGAAGCGGCTCTCAGTAGAAGACGACGGTTCTCCTCCGGGGGGGGGGGGGAATGCAGATCGGTTCCACTTAAACGGATCGACAGTAAAATGTGGAGGATTTAACCAGCAGCACAGCGATGTGTGGATGATGAACAGCACACAGACACGCTCACATTTACACAGAGCACACACACGACACGGCGACTGCAGGTGAAGCCGAGCTGCAGGTGAGGAAATGAAAATGATACAAAATAAAAGAGATTTAAGGTCATTTTACAGGTTTCTAGCAACCTGTAAAATTCTATACAATCCTCTGGTTGTATAGAAGTCTATGAGAAAATGACTCTACTTCTC